GACTGTAATTAGCAGCCTGAGAGAGACGCCAGAAGAGAGACACCATGAGAGAGACGCCATGAGAGAGACGCCATGAGAGAGACGCCATGAGAGAGACACCATGAGAGAGACGCCATGAAAGAGACACCATAAGAGAGACACCATGAGAGAGACACCATGAGAGAGACGCCATGAGAGAGACACCATAAGAGAGACACCATGAGAGAGACACCATGAGAGAGACACCATGAGAGAGACGCCATGAAAGAGACGCCATGAGAGAGACGCCATGAGAAAAGCCATGAGAGAGACGCCATGAGAGAGACGCCATGAGAGAGACGCCATGAGAGAGACGCCATGAGAGAGACACCATGAGAGAGACACCATGAGAGAGACACCATGAGAGAGACACCATGAGAGAGACACCATGAGAGAGACACCATGAGAGAGACACCATGAGAGAGACGCCATGAGAGAGACGCCATGAGAGAGACGCCATGAGAGAGACGCCATGAGAGAGACACCATGAGAGAGACACCATGAGAGAGACACCATGAGAGAGACACCATGAGAGAGACACCATGAGAGAGACGGCAATCTGACACTGATTTCTAGATTACAGTTCCAATAGCTGTTTGTCAGTTATCTGTTTGTGTACCAGTCTATAGAGTAATGGAGACAGAAACAAGAACCAAAATTTAAAAGTGTCTCTTTTATCAATCATATATAAACACTCTTTGCCTTTTTAACTTGGATTGAGCTACGATTTTGGTGATTCTTACCAAATTATTGATGATAGCTGAGCCTTGAGAAGGAGGAGTCAAACCACATAACATATTAATCAGAGTTGTCTTTCCTGCTCCATTATGACCCAATAAACCAGTTATCTGCCCTTGGTATATATCCAGTGAAATGCCATCGACAGCATGTACATCTTCTTTATCAGAATTTTCAAATGTCTTGCGAATGTTGAAAATCCTGAAATTAAACACCATAAAGTGAAATGAGATGAATGGAGTATTACATCCTACTTTTCTGCACCATGTGGGCTAATGAAGATGGGAAACACCATAAACAATGTCATATACCCATGTATGTTTGATGCGCAAGATATCTGCCTGTTTTTCTTTGTCAGGTTTTACATGGGGGAATTAGGTTAGTTATTTTTGATTTTCAACCATTGAAAAATGCTAACCACCTTGAGCACACAGGGGCCTCAGTATATTGTTCCAACTGAAATTTGAATTGCCTCTAAGAAAATATCTAAAGAATAAGGAACCTGTGCTAGGTGCCCTAAAATAATGTTGCTCAGCTTACCTTAAGGCTGCTTTATTCTCTAAATCAGTTGACACCATTTCAATATCTCCGTCCTTATCCTCCTCGTTGATATTAACATGTTTATTATCTATTAACGAAGTTAGCTCCCCTGATTTCCGGTTATCGCCACACCAAAATGACGGTAGTAAAAAATACCAAGGTTTATATCGTACACCATATTCTCCTGGTGAATAAAAACATTTTAAAAAGCATGAAAGGCTTTGAAAGAAAATTTTTGCCTTGAGGTAGATTCGAACCCAATGCACCACATATTCACTTTTCTGTTTTCTGCAACAGATGCAGTTAAGAAGTGTTCTAGAGGTTATAACAGTACAACACTATAATAGGTTCAAATTAAATGATCAACTGATCATACATGTTCATAATCGACAAACGATCTGAAGATTATTGGAAACTGGACACACGAATAGCAAACTAGGCCTTGACTAACAGGACAACTCTTGTCTACAGTCTATTCTAATGCATCAGTTGAGATAAGATCTACATACCAGGCCACGTATTCTCGAAACGATCTTCGCACTAGGATGTCCTAGGTTCTTATCTTCTAACATTGACTGTAGGACATCCTAGGTTCTTATCTTCTAACATTGACTGTAGGACATCCTAGCGCTAAGATCGTTTTGAGAATATGTGGCCAGGAGCGATGGATGTGCCTCCAAGTTCCAACTAATGACCTACTCTGCAAAAATAAAAAAAGCAGTCTATTGCTGATGTCCTGAGGTTTAGCAAAAGACTAGCTGGAATACGGGATTTTTGTGAACCTGTTCTTATCCTTGTAAAATAGTTTACCTACCTGGTATGACTCTATCTAAATAAAACGCCAACAGTCCATATAACACTGCATCAACAGCTAACATTATAATAGGCCCAGAGAGGGGGAAATCCCCTAAATTTATTGTGTCAAAGGTCATCCCACCTTTAGCTACAGAGAGAAAAAATCCCTGAAATGACAAAATCATCCCTGTTAATATGAGAGTGAAAAGGGTGCGTAATAAAATGATACTTAATGTCCTACTATTCTGCGTCTGACGGTTATTTAAGATGGTTGATGACGAGCAGTCTAAAATAAGGACAATTTTGTCAGGATTGGCTGGCCTAATCTTTCTCCATGGCATGTGTTTCCTTTCGTGTCTTTCTCAATTGTGATGATCCATAATTACCTGATCCACAGCCAAACTCAGGGCGACGGGTGACAACAAACATAAAGCATATCTTCCTGCAGGGCTGATAGAATAGGAATAACCATCAGGAGTTATTGTTCTTGTTTCACTGACGACAAAATACAACATACTGGCGATCAGAGTGAAGAAACTGGCGATGAAGCCAGCAGTTTTAGCTTTATTGAAAAATGGAGATATCATGAACGATAAATTGATAATGGATAATCCATATAAATACAGGATTAGGAAAAAGATGAAGATGTTGCTGTTTTGAAAGAAGTCTGCTGCGTAGGCTATCACCACCACTATCAACGTAACTAACAAGATTATAGCAGCATACACAATACCCCATGATAACCTGAAAAACATAATCCATCAAATTACAAATATTGAAATCAAAAACGTTACATTACTCCTGGATGCATTTCTATGAATAGTTAGGTGGAAAAGGGCTGGGACTCCTGGAGCACCAGGCCATTAAAGGGAACGGTAAGAAACGTTAAAAACACAAGTGCATTACTTAAATGCAATAAAATCAATGGTGAATATAGGTATTCAATAATATATATACCAAAACGCAGCATCACGAAGTCCCATCATTTTCATCCCAACTCGAATTTTCTTTTCTTTTTCAGCTACGATGTTTGTGGTTAAAAAATTCACGAAAAAACCGTAAGCAAAGACAAAATAAATAGCAGAAATAGTTTGAAGATAAGAAATATCTGATGTGTAGGGTCCTTTTGGCATCAACTGAACGTTGACGTCTGGTAACTCTAGACTGGAACTTAGATTATTCTGAAAAAGGCAAAAAAATTCGTTACTGATTCAACTTACCTCATTCAGCCGCTCATTGGACCAATGATGATTAGTATGATCACTCAGTGGGCTATAATCATCTAAATATTCTTCAGTCTTTAAATCAGATACTCATAGCAAATTTTAAACGTCCAGGTCAAATTTTCGTGGACTTCGAAAAAGAAATCAGAATGGTGAATCTTTACAGAATTGGATTTAGTATTGAGCTTGGCTTATATTTACAAATCTAGTTTTTCTTCTACTGTGAAATGAAATGAAATGAATGGAGTTTTACGTCCTACTTTTCTGCACCATGTGGGCTAATGAAGACGGGCAACGCCATGCAGGGTGCAATGAGGGAAATTTTGCCAGGACAGCAGCATCAGCCTGCTCTATTTCGATTTTCAACCGTCGAGGGATCTTTAACGTGCACAGCCTGTAGCACACGGGGCCTCGGTTTATTGTGCCATCTGAACGACTAGACGCTTTTTCCATGTCAGCCCCTCTAACCTGCATCACTGACAGGGGGAAACCGGTTTGAAAAATCCGAAGGTATTATCTCGACCTTCTGGTTAGCGAGCAAGCGCCTAACTCACTGAGCCACCGCGGCTCCCTTCTACTTTGAAGACTTTCAATTTTTAAATTAAGTATTGATAATCTTGATAGCTAATTACCTTCACAAGAGCTGTCTCAACAAGATTCTGTAACCACACAAATCCAGATGTAAGGAAATTATTGACACGACATCGATCTGAACTTGTTCCATTTGCATCACTTCTACAATCAGCTACAAAACATTAAATATTTCAAGAATAAATACTCTTTTCTTCTTAATTTTGGACTAATGAAGATAGCAATATATTTATTTTACTTTTAGTGTGTTAATGTTTGGTTATTATCTATTAGCAAGTACTTGCTTAGCTTAATAAACTAAAAAAAATAAATAAACGTTTCTTCAATGAAGGAATTTTACAAGGGCACTGGCATTGGCCTGCTCTTTCCGATTTCCAACTGTCGAGTGATCTTTAATGCATAGGCCCTGTAACACAATGTTTAGTCGAACAACTAGATGCTTACAAATTTCAACCCCTCAGATCTCCATTACTGACATGGGCAAAAAATTACAGAGAATTACAATGTTTGAAAAAAAAGATTAGAAAAATAAACTTACAAGATGAAAGAGCCTGAGTGAAAAAATCTCTACCAGACATGAGTTTATAGTCCAGTCTGATGGCATACGTCATCACACTCGCTGTCTGATAGCTGAACATCAATCCTCCCCCGACACGTTTGGGGTCGCGTTTATATTCCAATTCCATTGTCTCTATATCAGTGAAATATTCAGTTTGTATTCCAGCCATGCTTGAGGCGTCTGTCATGATACTTCTAACCTCTGTTGTATTTGGCGTAACAAAAATGGTTTTACTCATGTTGAACTGTGTGAGAGAGTTCACAGGGAAGCCATCAATGGCTGGCTGAGTCGATGGTTTGGATAAAGCTTTGATCATGGCCAGTATTCCAATAAAATATATAGGATAAAACACCTCCTGTAATTATATAATAAATATATACATTTTTTTGTCATGTGCTACGGTGAACATTTGTGAAAAATTTGCATTCATTTACTGAAATTTACCTAGTCACCGAACACTTAATGACAACGTTCATCGTGGCGTATGAATACACAACATATCAACAAATGAACACATTAGTGTTATTGTATAAACATTAGTGTTATTGTATAAACATTAGTGTTATTGAACCTAAGTTGTTATCCTTGTAAAATTTGTAGTTTATTTCTTTTTCTTTCTTGTTAAACCACCCGCAAAATATAAATCATCCCACTGACCTGTATCAACTGTTTTTTGGTTCTCTTCTTCAGTAAAATATTCCTCCATATTAAAACTTTCAGTTGCTGGATGAAGGAAGCCATTTTTATTGTATTTCTCTTCTTCACTATATCTTTAATACAAAAAAAATGGGTTAAATCAAATCTCTTATATGGACTATAAGAGGTCTGTTAAAGGAATTATTTCAAATATAAGGTTCTGAACAATTATAAGGTTCTGAACAATTATAAGGTTCTGAACAAATATAAGGTTCTGAACAAATATAAGGTTCTGTACAATTATAAGGTTCTGAACAATTATAAAGTTCTGAACAATCATAAGGTTCTGAACAAATATAAAGATCTGAACAATTATACAGATCTAAACAATTATAAAGATCTGAACAATTATAAGGTTCTGAACACATATAAGGTTCTGAACAATTACAAGGTTCTGAACACATATAAGGTTCTGAACAATTATAAGGTTCTGAACAATTATAAAGATCTGAACAATTATAAAGTTCTGAACAATTATAAATACGTTTCTGAACAATTATAAGGTTCTGAAAATTATAAGGTTCTAATCAAATATAAGGTTCTGAACAATTATAAGGTTCTGAACAATTATAAATACGTTTCTGAACAATTATAAGGTTCTGAACAATTATAAAGTTCTGAACAATTATAAAGTTCTGAACAATTATAAATACGTTTCTGAACAATTATAAGGTTCTGAAAATTATAAGGTTCTAATCAAATATAAGGTTCTGAACAATTATAAGGTTCTAATCAATTATAAGGTTCTGAACAATTATAAATACGTTTCTGAACAATTATAAGGTTCTGAACAATTATAAGGTTCTGGACAATTATAAATTCGTTTCTGAACAATTATAAGGCTCTGAACAATTATAAGGTTCTAATAGAATATAAGGTTCTGAACAATTAAAAGATTCTGAACAATTATAAGGTTCTGAACAAGAAGAAATCTGTACTATAAGTGAGAGGTAATACATCTTGGACCTCATGTGCCAGTTGGTACCGTACTTCTAAGCAGAAACAATAAATGAGATACTTTATGTTATTACAAAGAGTTTATTTCCGTAAATTTTCTATATCACGATATTTGAACCTATTCTATTGTGATACAAAAATAAAAAAAATCTCATATCGCCCAACTCTAACTATATACAGACATTGAGGATATCAAATTCTCTTCCTCTTTCTCTTTTGTTATTCAGATAAAAATCACATTACAATTTATTGCTTAATCAAGCGCAGTGGATATTAAGATGTGTACAAATCGCGTTTTATTTTCGCTATTTTGCTTGAACTTCTGGTTACCCATGCGCAGTATAAAATTTTACAAATTCTCAGTAATTATGACTTGGGGACAAATTCACCAGCCTCTCTGTGACCTAGCCAGTGCTTTCATTGAGACTCGTCTCAATACACCCTAACACCAGCCTAAAATTAACCTTACAATAGAATAATACCTTAATCTTTTTTTAAGTTTTTTAACTTGCTATCTAATTTAATTAAATTTGTATAAAAAATACATTCTCCCTTGAGCTTTACTATAGATACCAAAACTTATGCCAAATTTAACTTTTGTTATAGTGAAAATTCTTAAAAACTAGTAAGAGAGAATCCCATGAAAAGTGACATTTTAAAGTGATACTACGTGTTACAGAATGAATATCAAAATTAAGTTCTCGAAATGGTCAATATGAGTATATTCAGCAGTTAGCCTACCTAGTCCCAGTAAAATCTGTATAGGCCTACCGGTAATTGGAAAATCTTAATATTAAGCGTTTTTCAATATTTAATCGATATTTATAGATAATCATTAAGTTTTTTGAATTTATCATTTATCGCATATCTACTGGTTCTTATTCGCCAAGTTTAAAATTCTTAAATTTTATGTTAATTCCAAGACGTATCCCTTTAAATCTGGCCCTAAATGTGCCCATATAATCCCATCTCGTATATCACTTTCGGGCTACCTATGAGCCAAAAATAATGTACTGTTAAAGTGAAAACAATTGTAAATATTACTTGTAAAATCTTAAGTGAAGGCCCTACTTATCAATAAGCCAATAAACCAAGTTTCATTTTGCCCTACTTTTTATCCTTTAATTAATAGAAAAGTAGGTCAAAAAAGTCAAGACCTGTAACAGCCCCTAAAAAGCTACATACCAGCCTATTCACACATCCATCAACATAATTTCATAGTTTAGTATTTGTGACTAAGTCGACTTCAATTTTTATCTCATAATTTCATTTATTGACAGTTGACACTGATAGATTCAATGTTTCTAAATGTCCCCGCTCCCCCTATCACTATCATATCAACGATGTCGATGTCACAGGATTTTTTGTCCCACTCTGACGAATTATGATCCAAGACAAGCCAACCCATATTTTACCTGTTAATAGATCTTGAGTTAAAATTCACTAAATCGTTCCATCATATCCAAAATCTTCAAGAAAATGTGAAATATTGCAATCTTGCACACTGGATTGTTTCCATTCATAAACAAGCCCTATTCACGTGACTATAGTCGCGACTCTCCAGTCTCTATAGTAAAAATAATAGTAGAGCAGTCATTAGAAATATTTCACGTGATTACCTGGGTAACCATTTCATTTTATTTATTTATTCAATATTGCGAAATAGTAAATATCATCACGAGTTTATTCGACATGTTTACAATTAAAAATACTTTTTGGCACTCAGGATTTCACAAACGAGAATTAAGTAGAGCAAATAGCTACTCTAACGGAAAATTTACCTGGAATTTCTTAATTAACAATTACCTAGGGTCGAAAACTCGGACACTGAAACTGATTGGGTCATGGACTAGGACCAGTGGTGTTTCTAACAAACATTAGATGAAGGGGCCGAGCAGGGGCCACACAGGCTACTCTTTCACATTTAATTTTTTTTCAATTTGAAAGTCGGGATGGAGGGGAGGGGGAGGGGGAGGGGCAAAGCCAGACTTCTTTTTCAGGGTGTGTGAGGGTGTGTGTGGAAAGGGGGGGG